TGGGAGTCTTCCCTTTTTCTCTGACCCTCCACCTTACCAAACATGATATCCTTCTCCAGTGACCGGTCCCTCCTGACAATATGTCTGAAGTACAAGAGACGAAGTTTGGCCAACCTGGTCTCCAGGGAGCACTCTGGCTGCACTTCTTCCAAAACAGATCTGTTGGTTCTTTTGGCAGCCCATGGCACTGTCAATATTCTCCTCCAACACCGTAACTCAAAAGCATCAATTCTTCTGTGGTCTTCCTTATTTACTGTCCAGTTTCACATGCAGATGAGGTTTTTGAAAATACCATGGCTTGGGTCAGGCACACCTTAGTCTTAAAGCTGACATCTGTGCTCTTCAACACTTTAAGAAGGTCTTATGCAGCAGATTTGCCTGATGCAATAAGTTGTTTGATTTCTTGTTTGGGCCAGGTGCACCTTAGTCCTCAAGCTGACATCTTTGCTCGTCAACACTTTTAAAAAGGTCTTGTGCAGATTTGTCTAATGCAATACATCATTTGATTACTTGACTGCTGCTTCCATGAGTGTTGATGATTGATCCAAGCAAAATGAAGTCTCTGGCAACTTTAACCTTTTCTCCATTGCTAAGAATGTTGTTTATTGGTCCAGTGGTGAGGATTTTTGTTTTCTTTACATTGAGATGCAACTCCTACCCAAGGCTGTGGTCTTCGATCTTCATTAGTAAGTATTTTAAGTCCTCTTCACTTTCAGCAAGCAAGGCTGTATCATCTGCATACTGCAGGTTGTTAATGAGTCTTCCTCCAATCCTGATGCCACATTTTCCTTCATATACTCAGCTTTTTGGATGTCTTGTTCAGCACACAGGTTGAGTAAGTATGGCGAAAGAATAAAACCCTGACACACACCTTTCCAAATTTAAAACCATTCAGTGTTCCCTTGTTCTGTCCGAACAACTGCCTCTTGATCTATGTACATGTTTCCCATGAGCACAATTAAGTATTCAGGAATACTAATACTTCGCAATGCTGTCCATATAGCTTGTCATGATCCACACTGCATAGTCAATAAAGTATAGGTAAGAATCTTTCTGGTATTCTCTGCTTTCAGCCAAGATCCATCTGACGTCAGCAATGATATCCATCATTCCACATCCTCTTCTAAATCTAGCTTAAATCTCTAGAAGTTCTCTGCCAATGTATGCTTGCAGGCATTTCTATTTTATCCTTAGTAAAACTTTACTCACATGGGATATCAATGATATTGTCCGATGATTTCAGTATTCTGTTGGGTTACCTCTCTTTGGAATGGTCACAAATACGATCTCTTCCAATCAGTTGGCCTAATAGTTGTCTTCCAAATTTTTCTGGCATAGATGAGTGCCCCCAGTGTTGCCTCACTTCGTTTAAAGTTTTCAATTTGTATTCCATCAATTCCTGGTGCCTTGCTCTTTGCCAATGCCTTCAATGCACCTTGTACTTCTTCCTTCAGATCACTGGCTTTTGATCATCAGCTACCTCTTGAAATAGCTGATCATCATCGACCATCTCCTTTTGGTACAGTGACTCTGTGTATTTCTTTCATCTTCTTTTGATGCTTTTTGCATCATTCTATCATTTGCTTGTATTATTTTCCAGTTCACCCAGCCTGAGATTTTGGTTTTCTACCTCCAGGTCTTTGCATATTTTGTTGTAATATTTGACTTTGTCTTCTAGAGCTGACCTTTGAAATTTTCTGTTCAGCTCTTGTACCTCTCATTTCTTCCATTGGCTTTAGTGTCTCTGCTGGAGAGTAAGTTTCAGAGTCTCTTATGACATCCATTTTGGTCTTTTCCTTCTTTCTTGTCTTCTTAATGACTTTTTGCTGTCTTCCTGTAAGATGTTCTTGATGTCGTCCCACAACTCTTCTCATCTTCGGTCTTTAGCGTTCAATGGATCAAATCTGTCCTTCATATGATCTCTAAATTCAGGTGGGATACATTCAAGGTCATATTTTGGTTCTCGTGGACTTGTTTTCATTTTCTTCAGCTTCAGTTTGAATTTGCATATGAGTAATTGATGGTCTGTTTCACAATCTTCCCCTGGCCTGGTTTTGGCAGATGATATGGAGCTTTTCCACCAGCTCTTTCTGAAGATATAGTCAATTTGATTGCTGTGTATTCCATCTGGTGAGGTGCATGTGTACAGTCATGTTTTATGCTGTTATAAAAAGGCATTTGAAATTAACAAATCACTGGTCTCGCAGAAATCTACAATGCAATCTCCAGCATCATTTTTATCACCAAGGCCATATTTTTCAACTACTGATCCTTCCTCTATTTCCAACCTTTGCATTTCAATTGCCAGTGATTATCAATACATCCTGATTACGTGTTTGATCAATTTTAGGCTGATGAAGTTGGTAGAATTCTTCCATTTCATCTTCACTGGCTTTAGTGGTTGGTGCGTAAATTTGAATAATAGTGGTATTAACTGGTTTCCCCTGTATGCGCATGGATATTATCCTATCACAGACAGCATTGTACTTCATGACAGATCTTGATAACTTTTTTCTGACGATTAATGCAATGCCATTTCTCTATGTGTCATTCCCAGCCTAGTAAACCTTGTGACTGCCAGAATCAAAATGGCCAGTACCAGTCCATTTCAGCTCATTAATGCCTAGGATATTAATGGTTATGCATTCCATTTCATTTTTGACAATTTCCAGTTTTCCTAGATTTATATTTCATACATTCCGTGTTCCGATTATTAATGGATGGTTACAGCTGTTTCTCTTCATTTTGAGTCGTGCCCCATCAGCAAACGAAGGTCCTGATGGCTTTACTCCATTTGTGTCATCACGGCCAGCTCTACTCTGAGGAGGCAGCTCTTCTCCAGTCGCGTTTTGAGTGCCTTCCAACCTGAGAGGCTCATTTTCTGACAGTGTTTCTCTGCTATTCATAGGTTTTCAGTGATTAAATATTCGGAAGTAGTTCATCACTCCTTCTTCCTAGTCTGCCTTCATCTGGAAGCTCATCTGACCATGCTGGTATTTAAAATATCCGTGGCATAGCTTTCAGAATCACAGCAACATACTAGCCACCACAATGTAACAAACTAATAGACATAGTTTGTATTTTATTTAAGCAACTGGTTAGTACGAACTCTATGAGGGCTGAGGAGAAAACTTCAGGGGTCCTGCTCCCACGATTAGAGGGGCTGCAGTCTTGGGGAAAGCTCCCTGTCCCCATGTGTAGTTGCAAGAGCCTACTGGCCCCTTCTTGAGAAGCCCACCTTGGTTGGCATCCGTGGCCTAGCCTGGATGCCCTTTGTCCCTGCCATGGCCCAGCCAATATGTCCTCCTCCAGATCTTACTCCTGATCCAGGGGAACTGGACCTAGTGCTCCCCCAGTCTGTCAGAGCCTGTCCTAGGACCAACTCAACAATGAGTGAGAGCTGACGTTTGCATCCCCAAGGGCAGCTCACATGGGACTAGGAGCACACACGGGGGACAAGGGGAGCACACATGGGGGACGGGGAGCACACAGGGAATGAGGAGCACACACGGGCACGAGGAGGACACACGGGATGAGGAGGGCACACGGGATGAGGAGCACACACAGAGACGAGAAGTACACACGGGATGAGGAGCACACACGGGGGACTGGGAGCACACACAGGGGATGAGGAGCACACACAGGGGACGAGGAGCCCACACGGGGATGAGGAGCACACACGGGGGACGAGGAGCACACACGGGGACAAGGAGCACACACGGCGACGAGGAGCACACACGGGGACAAGGAGCACACACGGGAACAAGGAGCACACACGAGGGACGAGGAGCACACACGGGGACGAGGAGCACACATGGGGGACAAGGAGCATACACGGGATGAGGAGCACACACGGGGACGAGGAGGGCACACAGGATGAGGAACACACATGGGGACCAGGGGAGCACACACGGGGATGAGGAGCACACACACAGGGGATGAGGGGAGCACACACAGAGGAGGATGCCCTTGAGTTTCAGGATTTGGCCTCAGAAAGGGCACCCCTTTCTGGTTTGTTCGTGCCGGGGCCATGCTGGCGGGAATCTGCAATTTCATGGCTGGCCTGGTTCTCCCCACACATGACGCTCCACTTGCAGTCATGAAGGGAAGCAATCAATCATCCAACTGTGCTCCCAACTCCCAGATGACATCCAGGGGGACTTAAGGACCGATTCCTGGACTTGAGACAAAGACAGCATCAATCCCAAATAGGCATAAAGAGCACAGGGGAATGCCTGGACTCCTGGGGTTACGCCCTGGAGCCCGATCCACAAGGCTGAGGGTTTGAAAGCCCAAGAAGCACCTGAGGAGAGCAAGCTGGCGGTTTCCTGAGTTCTATGTGGACCCACACGGGCCGGCTCTGGCTTCTCAGTTACAGATGTCTGACTTTCCTAGGACCGCTCTAACAGTTGTGCTCGCCAGGTGCTGTCTAAATGGCCCTGAGTCACAGGGACACCATGGACAAAAGATGGAAAGCCTGCCCAGTCCTGTGCCATCCTCACCATCACTGTGACGCTTGAGGCCACTGGTGTAGCCATTGTGTTCACCCATCCTGTGGAGAGTCATCTTCTTTTTAGATGACCCTCTAGTTGACCAGGTATGACATCCTTCTCTAGACCCTGGTCCCTCCTGAGGACGCAGTTTCACCATCCTGGCTTCTCAGAAGCACTTTGGCTGCACTTCTTCAAAGACAAAATGGCTTGTTCTTTTGGCAGTCCATGGTACTTTCAATATTCTCAACAACACCAGAATAACATGAGACAACTGAAGACACCATGGCTTGGGTCAGGCACACCTTAGTCCTCAAAGTGACACTTTGATGAGGTCTTGGCAGCAGATTTACCCAATGGAATAATAAGTTGTTTGATTTCTTAACTGCTGTTTCCACGAGCTTTGATTGTGGATTCAAGTAAAAGGAAACCCTTGACAACTTCAATCTTTTCTCCATTTACATGAAATTACTCATTGGCCTAGGGTGGGGAGTTCTGTTTCCTTATGTTGAGGCAACATCCATACTGAAAGAAGTTGGTGACACTATGGGGTAGGCACTGGGCTTCTAACCACAAGGCTGATGCTGAAATACGCTGCTAAAGGGTAAGATGAAGTTGTCTGCCCCCATCAAGACTGACAGTGTCAGATACCGTGCGCAGGGTCACTATGAGCTGGAACGCTCAATGACAGCGGGCTTTCTCATACCGAACACTGTAGTCCTTGAACTTCATCAGTTAAGTATTTCAAGCCCTTTTCGCTTCCAGAAAGCCAGGTTGTGTCATATTCTCCAATCCTGACAGCAATTCTTCCTAGTCCAGTTTCTGGGATTACTTACTCAGCATATAGTCACAAATGGAAAGACCCCAAATGGATGACTTCAATGAATACAAATTTATTTTCTCACATTCAAGGAAGGAGGCACGAAGCCTGAATTTACGACGTGGCTCTAGGACAAGGTCTCCTTGTCTAGTCAAGCATCTAGTAGGAGCCCTGGTGGTGCAACAGGTTAAGTATTGGGTTGTTAAGTGCAAGGTTGGCAGTTCAAACTCCCCAGTTGCTCCACAGGAAAAAGATGAGGCTATCTGCTCCCATAAAGATGTCGTCTCAGAAACCCTATGGTTGCTCTGGCTCAGAACCAACTCGATGGCAGTGGGTTTGGTTCGGGTTTATGTCTGCTCCCTCTGTGTCCAATCTGCTCTTTTTAGAACTACAAAGTGGCCAGGTTTAGGACACACCCAACAACACTGCCATGGTCTTGTTAACAAAACAAAGGAAATTCTTTCTAAATAGGATTATCTCCACAGGTAGAAGAAGTTAGGATTCCAATACATGTTTCTGAGAGACACAATTCAATCTGTAATAGCAGACATTCCTGAATCCTGAATTTGCGGCGGCAGTCCCACAGAAGCGCAAGGACTAGATGTACACATGGGACGTGTACGTTTTATATGTGAATGAAGAGAATGTCAGCGGTCCCTGGGACTATCAAGGGAGAAGAGCAGAGACCAGGACCCTACCCAGAGAAGCAGTGACCCCAGAGATGGAGGCAGCGGCGATGACAATGGAGAGATGGAACAGCTGGGAACTCTAGACCCAGAGAGCGAGAGGGGCTGTGTGCTGACGACTGGGGGGACAGGCTTGCAGGGTGTACCCTTTAGTTGGCTGATGATGCACGGAGGGGACTGTAATCATGGCAATGAAACAATATAAGACAGGATGAATGTAAAACTAATGTTCTCCCATGTAAACTATCACATAATTCACACAATAAAACATTTTTTGTAAAAAACAAGAGAACGTCAGGGTTGAGAAGGATTCTCTGCTCTACACCTCAGAGCACACCAGCATCTCCTATTGAGGAGGGCCAGTCCTACAGGAGGGTAGCCTGGATTGCAGAAGGGCCTTTGGAGCAGATGCAAGACAGAGGCGGGAGACACACTCCTGTCTTTGAGGGACACATGCTCTGGGTCCACACAGACCAAGTCAAGTCTCAGAAAGTTCCAGACAAGTGAACGTGACCTGTGGCTGTCCAAGGCAGGTGAGTGCCTCATGGAGGTCAGGCTCCCACCCCTCAAAGCCAGCCGATAAAACTTCCCTAGGGGACCGGCAGGAATTCAGGTTCCCAGACCCATCCCTCTGGAGGTCCACGCTGGCCCTAGGAACCTGTGTGTTAAACAAACACCCCAGGTGGGTCTTAGAAAGCACAGCCATGGTGCAGTCTGCCTATGGGGCAGGGGATATGGCATATCCAAATGCTCATGTAGTGGGCTAAATTATGGCTCCCACCTGGAGGCCTGGTGTGGTGCTGTAGGATAAGCACTGGGCTGCAAGGTCGCTTTGAATTACACGGTCAGCAGTTCAAACTCACCAGCCACTCCTTGGAAACTATATACAGGGTTGCTAGATGTTGGAACTTATTCAATGCACTTAACAACAAGAACCCTGTCTCTAAGATCAGCACTGGACTGCAAACCAGACCCACCAGCTGCTCCTGGAAACTCCACACAGGGTTGTTATCAGTCAGAGCCAACAACCATGGGTTACATGCCCAAGTCCTAGTGCCTGGCACCTGAGAATGTGACCTTGCTGGGAACTAGGTTCTTTGCAGATATAATGAAGTCGCTGGGTGGCACCAGAGGTGAACGCGCTCAGCTGCTAACTAAAGCACTAGAAGGTCTGAGTCCACCCAGGGGTGCCTGAGAGAAAGGCATGGTAATTTACCTCCAAAATCCAGCGGGACAGATCCTGCTCCATGCACATGGGGGTGCAATCAATTTTAAATAAAAAGATTAAGTTAAAGCTCTTGAGGTGTGATCCTCTTGAACTAAGGGTGGGCGCTAGCTACCTCCAGTGACTGAGATCTGAGAGACGAGACAACCATGGGACCACAGGGGCACAAGGCACACCAAGGATGGCCCGCCACCCCAAAGAAGGATCTTCCCGTAGAGCACTGGTAGGGAGCAAGGCCCTGCCAATACCTGGACTTCAGACATCCCTGGGATCAAAGCATCTCCGACCAATGGCTGTAGACTGAGGGAGGAGCTTCTGGCAGCCCATGCTAGAGTGACAGGAGGGGGACAGGGGGAGTGGCAGGACTGCTAAAAGGGCCTGCTGGGAAGCAGGAGGGGCTTTCATGAGGACAACTCAGCACTGTGGGGCTGAGTGGAGACAGAATGAAGGGTGGGGACAACACCCAGTTTCTTGTGTGTGTGTGTGGGGCGGCGGGGAGCAGGCCTGAAGGAGCTGAAGACATCTAGGGACTGAGGGGCTTAGAACCACAACCAGAAAGAAGGTGTGGTCCACTTCAGTAGCTTAAGACTTGAGGCAGAGGGGACTCTCACTACCAGAAAACATCAAAGACTCAGGGGACATTCTATAGAGGCTGGTCCCCTTCTTCCCCTCAGGCCTCAGATGACAAGTTCCCTGCCCTTGTGAAGCCCCCATAACCACTCTCTCTGCCTGGTCTGGCCTTATGGTTTGGGAATTCGTACACAGTGGGGACTCCAGAGACATATGCTACCTGGGCCCTGAGTGAGCATCTGAGTGGCGGGCCCTGCGGGCTGTGAGGGAGGCTGGTAAGGCAGCAGAGCACATGGGTGGCCCCAGGAGGGAGGTGCTGGCCACACAACGTATGGGGTCTGAGAAGAAGCCACATGTGAGCTGAAATATCCTGGGATTGTCATCGACTCCAGGTGGCTGCCACTGTAGGCATGTCCTTTACGGGACCCTTTACTCTTTGACACTGATGGGGCTGAAGAGAAGATGAGCTGCCAACCCCCAAACACGAACCCGACAACATCACTGCCCTCTGCACGGACTGGGGACCCTGGCTCTGAGGCACGGCCACACTGCCCGGGACGGGACAGAGAGAAATGGAACGGATGAGGCAGCTTCTTATCAAAGCGCTTTCTTTACCTTAATTGTTTTAGATTGGAGTCTCAGGCCGTTCAGTGTGTTGATGGCTCTCTCGGCGTCTTTTGCAGTCACGTAGTTCACAAAACCATAGCCCAAGCTGTGTCCTGTGGGGAGAGCACAGGGGTGTAGGTCAAGCAGAAGAGACACCACTGATGGTAAGAGAGCAGCACCGTGGACCAGTGACTGTGCTGTCGTCTCCCCATGGTGTCGGGGTAGAACTGGGCACTCGGGCCTTTCAGAAGCTGATTTTCTTTTTTTACAAACAGACTACCAGGCCTTTCTTCATGGCACCTCAGTATGAACCAGAACCTCCAATCATTCAGTCAGCAGCTGAGCAAAATTTAGACCTCCCAATGTCTCCAAATAAATCCAACGGAGTTCAAAAGGGTCGGGTCACACTGAGCTGCTGTGAGTGGCACAGCAGTGGTGACGGCGATGCAGCAGGATGAACGGCGTCAATGTCATTGACCCACACATGTAAGTGGTTAAATGCTTTGTTACATGTATACATATTTTACCTTGATTACAACAAAGCACTACATCAGAGAAAGGAAAACTTAAAGAAAATACACAAAATCATCTCTGGGGAGTAGTATTATTGGCGGTTTGAGGATAGAATTCTCCCTTTCCACAGGGCAGACTTGAGTTCGACTGCCCAGTCACCACCCCATCTGTTAGTGGAGGCTGCAGGGAACCTCCAGGCAAAGATAGAAGAGGAAGAAGGGCCTGGTAATAGACCTCTGAAAATCTGCCTATAAAAACCACATGGGTCCCAAATGATCGGTTCTGCAACCAATCTTGGGGAAGGAACAGGACTACACTGCGCACGGGGTCACTGTGAGCTAAAGGGTTACTCAACTCTGGCAGCTAACTGTGACCTTACATGATGCTGGTAAAATAAAAGATTTCTACAATAAACAAATATTACATAGGAAATGACGTCTCCTGCTGCCACATTCCTGGTTAGGGCGGTGATCATGCTGACGGGCTGGGCTGGGTGGGGTGAGGAGGACAGCCGGACAACCAGCTGTCTGGGTCTGCAACCTTTATTCCCATTTCCTTTCCCAGGGCTGAAGATTCCTTGGATTCTGTCGCCACCCAGCGCCAGTCCCTTTTACTTTCTCACAACAGACCAAGTCACCTGCCCAAATGGAGCGGAGCTGAAAACTCCCCACTACCATTTTGTAAAGGAGCTCTGGTAGCGTAGTGGTTATGAATCGGGCTGTGAACCGCAAGGTCAGCAGTTCGAAACCACCAGCTGTTCCGCGGGAGAAAGATGAGGCGTTCTGCTCCCGTAAAGATTTACAACCTCGGAAACCCTGTACAGGTTCGCTATGAGTCGGAACCGACTCCACGGCACACTTGTTGTTGTTGTTAAGTGCCGTCGAGTCGGTTCCGACCCATAGCGACCCTGTACAGGGTTTCCGAGGGTGTAAATCCTTACGGGAGTAGAAAGCCTCATCTTTCTCCCGCGGAGCGGCTGGTGGTTTCAAACTGCTGACCTTAAGGTTCACAGCCCGATTCGTAACCACTACGCTACCACGGCACACAGCCACCACCATAATTTTGTAACAGTACATTTGTGGCTTGGCTTCAAATATCTGAAGCCACACTGATCAAAAAAGTTCATGTCACGGAAAACCAGAAATGATAGTACTTTGTTGTTAAGTGCCGTAGAGCCAGTTCCAACTCCTAACAACCCTGCACAGGCTTTCCAAGAAGTGGCTGGTGGGTTTGAACTTCCGACCTTGTGGTATGCAGTTCACTGTTGATCTTACAGCACCACACCATATTAAGAGCAGTGTTTTCAATCTTTGATATCAAATTATAATTCGTTCTGAACTTAAAGTGAAGGCCACATTCCAGTTTTTATAAATGTAAACGTGCTAAGGACTTTGGATCCGGGGAGGGAGAGAGACTGTGTGCTGAAGACTGGGGGAGGGGAGTGTAGGGGGCGGGTTTGCAGGGTATACCCTTTTGTAAGTTGATGATGCATGGAGGGGATTGGAACCATGGCAATGAGACGATATACTATAGGATGAATGTAAAACTAAAGTTCTCTCATGTAAACTATCATATAATTCACAATAAAACATAAAAAAAAGCAAGTGTGAAGTGATGGAAAATCTGAAAAAGCAGTACTAAAAGTGTAAGCAAGGAAAACAGTTGAGAAAATGATCTCTCAGAATGAAAGGAAAACGGGTCAATTGAGATTCAATGACAGTGCTGTTAACTGTACATTTAGCAAGCTTTGGTGGTGGCCAAAGAGCTTTAGATCTAAGACGTAAAAACAAGCAGATTCGAACGGATTCAGTCATGGGTGATAAAGTGAAACAGAACAGAACCAGAGATTTAAAATGTGGATGAACAGAAAAGGTTGCCGTTCAAAGTTCTGCTAGGGAGAGCTTATCAGAGTCAAAATCAACACCTGCCTGTCAGCCAGTCACACACACCACAGTGAGCACTCTGCAAACACCGGGGCCCTGCCTCCACCCAGCTCTGGTCCAGCACAGGCCGCCATGGACCAGGTAAAGAAGTACAGTGACCAATGTGGGCGTGTATCAGAGTGGAGGGGCGGCAAGGTCTCGCTGTAGAACCACACTGAGGTCCTGCGGCTGAACCGAAACCCATCCTGCAGATGACAAGACTGTGAACCCAAATCATGGAATCAGCAGAAAGCCTCACCCAGTCTGGCCACTTCCTTTCTTTTTAAAAATAAACGACCTTTTTTTTTTTTTTTTTCTTTTAGAACAATCCCTGAGGGATGCCCATGGTCTGCTTTCACCTATTGGCGGTTTGAACGGTTGGCAGTTTGCAACCAGAACGGTGACAACAGGACTGGTGACAAGCCTCTGTAAAGAACAGCTCTCGTCTAGCACATGGAAGGGCCAGGATGAAAGGGCCACAGGTTTAGTGTTTTCAAGTGTATGACATTTATAGAGAAATTGCAGATAGGATTTTGCAAGACCTCGTTGGTCTACTGGAGAATGGAAGAGGGGAAAAGGCAGCATGCTAAGCAGTTAGTATTGAGAAAATGGATGTGAAAACTACAGCATCAGGATTAGAGGAAGGTACGTAAATACGTTCTGCTGTGGTGCTGTAGGATAAAGCACTGGACCACAAGGTTGGCAGTTCAAACTCATCAGCTGCTTCTTGGAAACCCTATACAGGGTCACTACGAGTCAGAACTAAGTCGAAGTCGCTTAACAACAACAATATGCAGATGACACAACCTTGCTTGATGGAAGCAAAGAGGACTTGAAGTATTTAATGCTGAAATAGCATTCAGTATGGACTGCACCTCAACGAAAACGAAACAAAAATCCTCACCATGGACCCAATAAACAACATTGTGATCAATGGAGACACTACTGAAGTTGTTGAGCATCTCATTTTCCTTGCACCCACAATCAGTGTTCATTGAAAGCAATAGTCAGGAAATCAAATGTACTACATTGCTCAAACTTGCCTCAAAAGGCCTCTGTAAAGTGTTCAATGAGAACAAAGAAGTCACTTTGAGGACTAAGGTTCACCTGACCCAAGTCATGGTATTTCCAAGCACCTCATATGCATGTGAAAGTTGGGGAATGAATAAGTAAAGATGGAGAAAAATCAATGTATGTGAATTATGATATTGGTAAAGAATACAGAATATACATACCATCGACTGCCAGAAATTGTCGCAGACCTTTCTTAATTTTAAACCATTCAGTGTTCCCATGTTCTATTCAAACAACTGCCTCTTGGTCCAGGTACAGATTCCTCAGGAGCACAATTAAGTGTTCCAGAATACTCATACTTCGCAATGTTGTCCATAGCTTGTCCCGAGCCAACAATCGAAAGCCTTTCTGTAGTTAATAAAGCACAATAAACATCTTTCTGATATTCTCTGCTTTCAGCCAAGATCCATCGGACATCAGCAATGGTATCTCTCGCTCCATGGCCTCTTCTGAATCTGGCTTGACCCTCTGGAAGTTCTCTGTCAATGTATGCTTGCAGCCATTTCTGTATTACCTTTAGTAAAACTTTACTCACATGAGATATCAAAGAGATTGTCCGATGACTTCTGCATTCCATTCAGTCACCTCTCTTTGGAATGGGCACAAATACAGATCTCTTCCAATCAGACAGTTGTCTTCCAAATTTCTTGGCAGAGATGAGTGAGTGCCTCCTGTGCTGCTTCAATTTCTTGGAAGATTTCAATTTTTATTTAATAAATTCCTGGTGCCTTGTTCTTTGCCAATTCCTTCAATGCACCTTGGACTTATTCCCTTCAGTATCATTGGCTCTTGACCATATGCTACCTCTTCAAACAGTTGAATATCAACCATTTCCTTTTGGTACAGTGACTCTGTGTTTTCCTTCCATCTTCTTTGATATTTTCTGCATCAATCAATAATTTACCCAGAGAATCCTTCAATAATGAAAAGTCAAGGCTTGAATGTTTTCACTTCCCCCAGCTTGAGAAATGCTGAGTGTGTTCTTTTTTTGTTTTCGGACTCCAGATCTTTTGCACATTTTGTTGTAGCATTTGACTTAATCTTCTCAAACTAAACTTTGAAATTTTCTGTTCAGCTCTTATACCTCATTTCTTCCATTGGCTTTAGCATCTCTACACCGGAGAACAAATTTCAGTGTCTCTTCTGACATCTATTTTGGTCTTTTCCTTCTTTCTTGTCTTCTTAATGACCTTTTGCTTTCTTCCTGTATGATTTTCTTGGTGTCATCTCACAACTCTTCTGGTCTTCGGACTTTAGTGTTTAATGTATCAAATCTGTTCTTCAGATGACCTCTAAATTCAGGTGGGATATAATCAAGGTCATATTTTGGCTCTCGAGGACTTGTTCTCATTTTCTTCAGCTTCAGTTTGAATTTGCATATGAGTAATTGATGGGTCTGTTCCACAATCTGCCCTTGGCCTTGATTTGACTGATATGGAGCTTTTCTATCTTCTCTTTCCACAGATGTAGTCAATTTGATTTCTATGTATCCCATCTGGTGAGCTCCATATGTATAGTCGTCTCTTATGCTGTCTAAAGAAGGTATTTGAAATGAACAAATCATTGATTTTCCAGAATTCTATCATGCAATCTCCAGCATCATT